TAAAGTCTGTCTAAGTCTAAGTCATTGCAACTCCCAAATTGACAGAGAGGTAGAGAGGCAGATTATAATTGAATTACAAAAATAACAGAATGTAGAGAACCTTTTCATTTTTGTTTTATTGCTTTTCTTCCCTTTTGATCAACAAAAGGTACTAGTGACACAACAGACATTAATGAACGAGTTAGTTACATAAGACTAAAGGTATATATGTAGAGAATACTGATGTAGTTCCATGGAGCAACCATTAGATGCCACCAAAGAGCTTAGTTCACTGTACATGTAGTGGTTTGTATTTGGTCTCGACAAAACTGTAAGCTACAGTAAGATATATGTAAAAACAGGTTAACAAATCACATTTTTAATCTTTTGAATTAGTTTCTGACAAAACTGTTCCAGTTAAAACTGCTGCTGTGGTTAGGATTAGTTAGAATTAGCTAGGATTTGATATTCTAAAACAAAACACAAAAGTACTAAGGAGCAGCAGCTGCACGGTCACCTTTAAGGTATTAAAATATTAAAATGTGAAATAAAAACATAATGACCACTGAAAACACAGAGCATAGGTAAGTAAAACAATGTTTTCCTATAAACAGAGAGGATATAGAAAACTGAAGAGAGGCCAGCTCCCTGTGTTTGAAAGACCCCCCCCCCCACACACACACACACAGTACATTAAATAGCCGCTGATGATTGAGACGTCTGGAGGGTTTTGTTTCTTTGTCTGCAGCATTTGCAGCAGAGGATGGTCACGGTGACGATGATGATGAAGACTGTGATCAAGATGAAGATTACACCAACCCACGCTCCAAGACTCCACTCTGGAGGGACAGTGAGAGACACTGTTAGGCAGATGAATTCCTCTCTTTAAACACACACAGTTTAGTTTTTGGCTCTGTAGAGCAATGCTTACATCTGCAGGAGCCCGTATTGTGCAAGCATGAAAGATTAAGACTGCCAAGATAAAAATTGAATATAGAGATCCTTGTTATGTATGCATTTTCTGTATCAGAATTCAATGACAAACATTTGTTAAAAGAATAATTATTTAGCTTTTGGTCTGAGTTAATTATTTTTCAGTGTGACATGGATTTTACATGCCACATTAAAATCAATCAAAACAGAAAACGGTTTTCTGGGTTATGATTTGATTTTTATGGCATCCTATGCAGGATGTTTCCATTGCTGTTGCTTTAAACATGCCAAGCTGGCAGCTCCTTACTACATATATATATACAAGATAGACAGTGAATGGGAGTGCAGAAGGTGCATTAGGTGCCATGTCTGAAATAGATGTCCCTAGTTGGTTTATCAAAGACACCGGCAAGTAGATAAAAAAAGCACAGCAAGAAACGTCAAATAGATTGGACCACCATTTTAATTCAACGTTACAGTTGCAGCTGAAAATGACAACAGACATAAATAAATTTGCCAATTTTACATAACTTCGTCATTCAAATCAACTGCTGTCTACTGAGAAGTGACTGTTGTTGTTAGTGCAACAGTGCAACAGTATTACGGTCCACTAATTTGAGACTGCTTCTTGACCAGTTAAAAAGTTGTTGTACTTGTAAGTAAGTAAAAGTACCAATATGACAAGGTAAAAATACTCCAATACATGTAAAAGTACCTTGATTGTCTGCATGAGCCAAAAACAGACTTCAATCTCTGTTTTGTTTTTGTTTAGCGTAGTAGGAAATGCTTGTTTGTCAGGCACACAGTGTGTTTGGGTAAGACGCAGTGAATGTGAACAAAACCACGTTTGTTTACAAGAAAGCTCTTAGAGGCTTAGGGAACGCTTAGAGACTTTGTGGTCATTTTTGTAAGCACACCAGACAAAAGAACTTCTTATCCATAAAAGCCACAAGCAGGACTCATTACATCGGAATTTCAAATTTTGCCAAAATGTGCATTTTTAATTTGCAGAAACAACTGCTGTTGTCCATTCAACCCTATAGCCCTGTGAGTCCTTGCAGCCATGCTAATGTTATTCTCCACAACTTTCCTGTGTTGTGTAGTGTAGTGTAGTGTGTACAGAGTGTGCGCACCTTGCAGGGGGTCATTGCTTCCAGGTGTACACCGCTGTCTGCTCCAGGCTCCGTGCTGCGTAGTTTTGGGTCTGGAGGGGATGTAAGCTGCCACCATGAAGCAGTAACTCTGTCCTGGATCCAGTTGGGACACCTCCACCTCGCTGGAGTCAGATGTGACCTCTCTCTATCAGACAAGAATAGGAAATGTTACAGTCACTTAAAAGGCTGTCTAATTTACCAGCTTCACATTCATGACCTCTGTAGTTCATCATTATGTTTTTTACAAATCAAAACATAGACTACTTTAAGTATCTTCAGTAAAATAGAATCAGCCTCTGAAGCTCCTCGATTTCAATATGAACTCTTATCCACATTCATTTTCTTTATTTTATTTCTGGGAAGACAATATTTAGAACATTATTTGAGCAAGCAAAAAATTGGGGATTAATTGATTCATTATTAAATATATTGTTTATACATTTTTTTTTAGAGGATATATTGTGTACTGTAAAATCTATTCTGAAAAGAAGTTGTGTTGGAGACGGTGAATTCTGATGAACTACTTACATTTACAGCACATCTTGACCCATAGCTCATATTGTGTCATACATGTATTTTTATGTAAAGCACTGTATCAAAGATAGGTGTAGTGTTTAACCAGAAGTGAATCACTATTACTGGTAAAACTGTGTTTGTGTCACTGTTGACAGCTGAATACTGTACCTTTCCTGTACTTCCAGACTTGTAGTAGATGATTTTATAATGGAGGTCACTTTTGAGAATCTCTCTGATGCTAAGCTGCTTCCCACGCTCATGGATGCTGGTCAGAGGATCTGTGATGCTGACAATTACTGTGCTCTTATTTACCTTCTCCACAGTGAAGTTCACAGCACTGATGTTACCTGAGGAGACGACAAATCAGCTGTAATGATGAGACCTTTTTCAGGCTTATTAATACAGGTTGAAAATGTCTTATTCATAAAGATGAAGAATGTGAGTCAGTTATACTGGCACTATCAACTTTTTATAATTTGTGTTCATAATTAATCACAGTATTCTGTAAGATAGATTAAAGGGGAACTTGGCAACTCTAGCCATTTCTTCGCTGGTTTTCATTTTTGTCATCGCATGTTTTCT